GACCCCTAGAGTCAAGGTATGCATTCACCTTGAGAACTTCATCTTTGTTTCAAAATGCAATGACTTCAGTTTTCTCCTTGTTTAACTGAAGAAAGTTCTGGCACATCCAACTGTTCATTTCATCAATGCATTGGCAGAGGGAGTCAATGGGGATGTAGACATTTGGCGATAAGGCTAGGTAAAGGTATCATCAGCATAGGTGTGATAGGCAATTTGGTTCTTTCTAATATTTGACTTAGTGGGAGCATATACAAAGAATTTACCATTTTTTGCTTCTTTAATAAAATGTGTTATGTTTAAATTGTTTAAAAGATATTTTATGCCTATGATGTGGTGTTTAAATGACATTAATTAGCATATTTCGATGTTTACGAATAAATACATATAAAGTGATGTTCTATAATCTCTAATCAGGCAACAAAAAGAGTGCCCAAGGATAGCTATGGGGTCCAAGGATAGCACACATATGTCTCCAAGATGTCTTTTAAAGAGCGCTTCATCTGGAAAGCATCTGCTTCCAGCATCAACTGCAATTGATCAATAAGAATCAAGTATTCCAGAGAAGCCCATGTAATAATGAACTTCTAACCTCTGCAGGTTGTGGAAATGGGTCAGGAGGAAGTGAAGATGAGGGGGAGGCAGAGGCAGGATGGATCGAAGGTGCAGCCATCCTACTCTCCGTCATTTGCGTGGTGCTGGTGACGGCTTTCAATGACTGGAGTAAAGAGAAACAGTTCCGGGGACTGCAGAGCCGCATCGAGCTGGAGCAGCGATTCGCTGTGGTGCGCAATGGAAACGTCATCCAGATCCCCGTCGCTGAGATGGTGGTTGGGGACATGGCCCAGGTCAAATACGGTCAGTTTCCTGTTTTGCTGAGCCCGGAGAATGAAATAAATGCTGAGATTAGGTTTAACCCATCCAATATGAGGAAGGTGCGGATTAACACTGGGGCATTTTTAGAGTAATGTTCACATTTCCACAAATCACAATGGGAACTCATTTGTTGATAATGTATCCTGTGCAATGTAGCATTATTGGTAGGAACAGTGAATGCTTTTTGGGATATTAAGGATGCTCTACTGATCACGGGATATTTATTTGTCCCACTTTTGTTTCCTCTCTCAGGTGACCTCCTACCTGCTGATGGGGTCCTGATTCAGGGAAATGACCTGCAAATCGACGAGAGCTCTTTAACCGGTGAATCAGATCATGTGCGGAAGTCGGCCGACAAGGACCCCATGCTTCGGCGGGATTAAACTACGCTGTCAATAATTCACAGTCCACCAATAAGAATAAAACAATAAACCCAGCAAATAAATAATAAGCCTTTTCAACACATCCAGTATGAGGAAGGTGTGGATTAACACTGGGACATTTTTAGAGTAATGTTCACATTTCCACAAATCACAATGGGAACTCATTTGTTGATAATGTATCCTGTGCAATGTAGCATTATTGGTAGGAACAGTGAATGCTTTTTGGGATATTAAGGATGCTCTACTGATCACGGGATATTTATTTGTCCCACTTTTGTTTCCTCTCTCAGGTGACCTCCTACCTGCTGATGGGGTCCTGATTCAGGGAAATGACCTGAAAATCGACGAGAGCTCTTTAACTGGTGAATCAGATCATGTGCGGAAGTCGGTCGAAAAGGACCCCATGCTTCTCTCTGGTAAGCATGTGTACATGTGTGGATCATACAGTAGATGTTGCTAGACCATATATAATGGTGGGTGGATTATATATAATAATCACCAAGGATTCACCAATAAACCAAGGATGTTAACGTTAACTATACCTATACCCCCGGTTTCACAGACAAGGCTTAAGCCTAGTTCCCGACTAAAATGTAAGTCTGAGCTGTTTCAACTGAAAGAAACTTGCAATGATTGATCTTGAAATATGTCAGTGCCCTTGTTTTGTCTCAAGATGCACACCAGTAATGTTTTTTCTAAGGCATGTTTATAAAAATTACTTTAAAATCCTAATTGAACTATGGCCTAGTCCTGGCTTAAGCTAAGCCCTGTCTGTGAAACCGGGCCATTAAGTTTTAACAATCGCCTAAATATTTGTTTAAAAGTCCATAACACAACTATAACGATATTGATCGCTGGAATCATTTTAAGGACATTTTTTTTCGGCTCATGAACAATAAAAATATTGACAGTCAATCAGAATCCACTGACTTTAAAGAGCTTGAGCATTTAGAGTGGCAGATAGTATACAGTAACCGCAGCATTTATAATAAACAGAACAATATTGTCTGTAGGTGTGAATGCTAAAATTGTTATGGCTATAATTATTTGTATAGGTATCATTCTTAGTGTGAATAGGCCTTTATGCTAGTAGCAAAAAAGTCGTTGTGTATTAAAGTAAAATCATTGTTAAAGGTTGATGCCCATCACTCTCCTTAAGAGACTGGTCAATCTTTCTTGAAAGTGTCTGAAGTAGTTTTGTATTCCCCTCTCGGCTGCACTCCTTCAGCTGTCAGTCAGCAGCACAAAGCACTCGGAGCATCCGCATTCTGTGTGTCAGAATAACTGAGATGCTGCAGTGGCATCCAGATGTTGATAATTAGATCTAAGAATCTCTGTTTCCTGCTGTGAGCACTGGTGCATGACCTCTACCTTCCTTCATGCTATTCTTAGACACTTGGGATGATAACTCCATTCACTTCATGAGGCTGTCCTGCTCTACTGATGATATTATTGAATAATATCCTAATGATATTTTTGTGAAGTTGATGTATGGAGGCTGTTGTTGTGTGCGGTCTGGAGTCAAATGCTAATGATGAACTGCAGCTGGCCAGGCTGTCTGTATTTGAAGATAAATAGTCAATGTCTAAAAGGAATTGTCTTCGGTAACGTTACTTTGTTTAGCCAGTTTGAATTTGTGCACTAAATGTAAAATGTTACTTATTTAGAAAATAAGAGAAAATTTTAGTTTTTTTTTGTTTTGTTTTGTTTTGTAAAGCAACCTTAATCTTTGGAAAAGCACTAAATAAATTATTATTATTATAGAAATTGGTCATTTTCTTGTAAAGTGGCTTTGAAGAGACACCATTTAAATTAAACTATTATTATTAAGCTCAAGGTCACTTTACAAGAAAATGTAAATTATTTCATTGTACTATTTTTTATTAATTTAGACATTGTTGTTGTTATTATAGAAATTTGTCACTTTCTTGTAAAATGAACTTGAGCTTTTTAAAAAACTGAATTTTATATAAAACATATTATTACTAAGCTCTAGGTCACTTTACAAGAAAATTACAATTATTTAAATGCATTGTTTTTTATTAACTTAGACATTCTAAATATATTTACTGGCATAAATATAAAAGGTATGATTTTACTCTTACATGTAATTTTATGTTGACTTAATATGAAATGACAATCTTTGAAACAGAAGGGTAGAACATAATTTATTGATGCTGCAATGCATGCTGGGAGGTCACATATCACCAACTTTGTTCAACAGGAAACTATTTATTTACACTAGTTCTATGAGGCTAGTTGGGACAACCTTTGCAGAATTTTTGGGGAGTCTTTCCATTTATGCTACAATAAAATATCAATCATCCATGTCTACATTGTGTCTTTTCCTTACTCTGTCTGTCTCTCTCTCAATCTTTCTTTCTCAGGTACCCATGTGATGGAGGGATCAGGCAGGATGCTGGTGACCGCAGTTGGAGTCAACTCTCAGACTGGCATCATATTCACTCTACTGGGAGCTGGGGAAGGGGAGGAGGAAGGAAAAGAAAAGAAAGGTAGGTGTAAGAAGGAAGAGCATCAAACGCCAACCAAAACATACCGTAATAGAAAATGCTGAGGCTGGTGTAGGATGTAGTGAGAAGGACTGCACACATTGTTATGAGGCTAGTTGGGACAACCTTTGCAGAATTTTTGGGGAGTCTTTATGCTACAATAAAATATCAATCATTCATGTCTACATTGTGTCTTTTCCTTACTCTGTCTGTCTCTCTCTCAATCTTTCTTTCTCAGGTACCCATGTGATGGAGGGATCAGGCAGGATGCTGGTGACCGCAGTTGGAGTCAACTCTCAGACTGGCATCATATTCACTCTACTGGGAGCTGGGGAAGGGGAGGAGGAGAAGAAAGAAAAGAAAGGTATTCGTAAGAAGGAAGAGCATCAAACGCCAACCAAAACATACCGTAATAGAAAATGCTGAGGCTGGTGTAGGATGTAGTGAGAAGGACTGCACACATTGTGAGTAGCACTACCAGACAGTAGAGAATAGAGAGAGAGGGGGTGGGAGATCCTTACATAATGGAGAGATGGGTTGGATATGAATGGAGGACCAGTGGGCTCGGAGCCTGCAGGAATATTTATGAATGGTAAGACGAGCAAGAGAGACAAGCAGAGCTCCACTGCTGCAAACTTTATGGCTCATGTCATGGGTAATTTAACCTGCAGCCAACAGAGAGGAGACTGGAGAGAAGGGAATAGTGAAGGATTAGGAGTTATATTGGAGTAGGCTGATTAATTATTCAGAGAAAGGGAACGAAAGCGAGAAACAGAGAGAGGGAGATAGAGCAAAGGTTGGATGTGGGTGGATGAAGGATGAAGTGGCGCCATGTTCTGTTACTGTCCCACTGAATCGCTCTATATGTGTCATCAGCCACCGAACAGACTTAGAACTGCCTCACAATCACAACTGAATTGTCTTTTTTGCTTTTGCAAACGTGATTTGTAATATTTATGCATCTTTTCTGATACCCATAATTGTAGAGTAGTCTGTATTTTTATAAGAATGCACATATGACAAATAATGCCAACAAACCTTTTTTATTCACCATTTAAGATTTGAAGTTAAAATCTATATGTATGCACGAGGGATAGTGTATATTTAGTTTTCTTTCTTTTTTTTTCCAAAGGTTTTTGCAGTCCTGCAGTGTGAATTTTTAAAATATAAAAATTCTATGTGGTGTCTCATTTAACAGGAGGCCATAAAAACTACAGGTATAACAATTAGGACTATCAATTATAAATATGTGTTTATAGTTTTTATTCATTTTTATTTAAGCTTTAGTTTAAATGAAAACTAAATTAACTAAATTAATTAGTTAGACTAAATTAAAATGAGAAATGTTGCCTTGGCAACTAGCTGAAATAAAAAAAAAGTTTTTTAATTAAATTTTTTTTATATTTTATTTTCAGCTTTAGTTTTAGTAAACTATAATAACTCTGTTGCATATATAAATATTTGAAGAGAAAAGTCTCCAAATGATGGTAATTCAAATATATTATATAAGAGTAAATCATTGAGTAGATCAATATATTGTTTGCTTCACAAAGTAGATTCACACTAGACGTGTGCTTTTATTCTTTCTGCAGTATTTTTTATTATTATTTTTTTTATTATTATTATGATTTATGTCTTTGGCCGTTGCTCTGTTTCACCGTTTTTCATGCACCATGAATGCTGCATTTTAGGACACTACAAGTGAAATGTAGTTAAAAACATGTCTCAAGATCCGTCCGTTCTGTTCCATTCTATAGCTTGTGAATATTTGCTGATAATTAATCACGCTAAATTAACTAGATTATTAATTTACTAATTTACTAAAATGTTGACAGCCCAAATAACTGTTACAAAAAAATTAGAAAACAATCTTTTACATAAAGCAGAATCGTCTTGCAGGAACGTCACATTGTAGGAAACTGATGAAGTACTGCCAGTACTTGTAATTTCATATTAACAATCTACGTACATGCAGTTTTGGCTTTTTTCAGTTTTCCTTAGTACCACATGATCATCATTAATTTCTCTTTTTCTTACCTCTACCACCACCCAATCCTAACAATTTCCCACGATCCCCCTCCTCCACACCTGCATTATCCCTTTGTTTCTCTATCCAATCAGAGGACAGTAGTTACTCACAAACAACTATGGCCAAACCAAGTGGCATCACCAATGGTACGTAATCCACAGCCCTGTTGTTCTTGTCCCTGAGTCCACTTGAGTTACAGAACACCTTCAGCATAGATGAAGTGACTACAATCAGCACTAAGTAGAGTTGGATTAGCCCAGAATTGTTGTGGAGTGCATTCACAGGTTTAAAATGTCATAGTTCAAGAGCCCAGCTCAATGTGTGTGCTATATGTTTGCATTTGTGTGTCTGTTTCCATAGTTCTGTGCGCTCTCATTTTCCTCACTCAAGAACACTGTGTGCCCTGTCTCTCATTCTGTCTCTGTCTGTCGCTTTTTATTCCCTTGTTCCCTCTCTCTCTCTGTCTTTCTCTCTCACAGGCAAGCAGCCAGAGGCAGCTGTGGAGACCAATCAGAATAAAGGTACCACAGGGATAGTAGAGTAGATGAATGGAGAGAATGAGGGGTTAATTGTTTACTTGTTGTGGAAAATTTCTGTGGACTCCTCAGCTACGTTGAAAAAAAAGTTTTTTAATTAAATTTTTTTTATATTTTATTTTCAGCTTTAGTTTTAGTAAACTATAATAACTCTGTTGCATATATAAATATTTGAAGAGAAAAGTCTCCAAATGATGGTAATTCAAATATATTATATAAGAGTAAATCATTGAGTAGATCAATATATTGTTTGCTTCACAAAGTAGATTCACACTAGACGTGTGCTTTTATTCTTTCTGCAGTATTTTTTATTATTATTTTTTTTATTATTATTATGATTTATGTCTTTGGCCGTTGCTCTGTTTCACCGTTTTTCATGCACCATGAATGCTGCATTTTAGGACACTACAAGTGAAATGTAGTTAAAAACATGTCTCAAGATCCGTCCGTTCTGTTCCATTCTATAGCTTGTGAATATTTGCTGATAATTAATCACGCTAAATTAACTAGATTATTAATTTACTAATTTACTAAAATGTTGACAGCCCAAATAACTGTTACAAAAAAATTAGAAAACAATCTTTTACATAAAGCAGAATCGTCTTGCAGGAACGTCACATTGTAGGAAACTGATGAAGTACTGCCAGTACTTGTAATTTCATATTAACAATCTACGTACATGCAGTTTTGGCTTTTTTCAGTTTTCCTTAGTACCACATGATCATCATTAATTTCTCTTTTTCTTACCTCTACCACCACCCAATCCTAACAATTTCCCACGATCCCCCTCCTCCACACCTGCATTATCCCTTTGTTTCTCTATCCAATCAGAGGACAGTAGTTACTCACAAACAACTATGGCCAAACCAAGTGGCATCACCAATGGTACGTAATCCACAGCCCTGTTGTTCTTGTCCCTGAGTCCACTTGAGTTACAGAACACCTTCAGCATAGATGAAGTGACTACAATCAGCACTAAGTAGAGTTGGATTAGCCCAGAATTGTTGTGGAGTGCATTCACAGGTTTAAAATGTCATAGTTCAAGAGCCCAGCTCAATGTGTGTGCTATATGTTTGCATTTGTGTGTCTGTTTCCATAGTTCTGTGCGCTCTCATTTTCCTCACTCAAGAACACTGTGTGCCCTGTCTCTCATTCTGTCTCTGTCTGTCGCTTTTTATTCCCTTGTTCCCTCTCTCTCTCTGTCTTTCTCTCTCACAGGCAAGCAGCCAGAGGCAGCTGTGGAGACCAATCAGAATAAAGGTACCACAGGGATAGTAGAGTAGATGAATGGAGAGAATGAGGGGTTAATTGTTTACTTGTTGTGGAAAATTTCTGTGGACTCCTCAGCTACGTTGTTGCTATATGAGGATAGCAATGGGAAATATAAGCACTAATACCATGTATCCACACGGATGCTTAACGTCATACATGACGACTGCTTCCTTGCGTAGTACAGTGTAACCGTTGTTCATTGTTTCCGGTGTCGAGGAAAAGCACCCAAACACTTTTTGCTGAATAGTGCCAGCTCTGTAGAACTCGAGAACTTGTTGTGGTCCGACTCTAACCGATGTCAGTGTTTATGCTATGCGTGTCCACATTTGTCTTGCTTTCCTTCGTTGTGTGTCCAGAGTATGTGTGTATGCCACTTTGAGCGTAAATATTCGATGTGTGGCATAAAGGTATTCAGAGTTTTGAATGAGTCTCGTTCTTGCCGGAAGACTCTCACGATGCTCTGAGTTGTGACACGACAGATTTGTTGTCCATATGTAGTGACGCTAACTCATGTCCCGCTCACCAGCCAAAAAGCAGGATGGAGCGGTTGCCATGGAGATGCAGCCTCTGAAGAGTGCAGAGGGTGGAGAAGTGGAGGAGAAAGAGAAGAAAAAAACCAACGTGCCCAAGAAGGAGAAATCTGTACTGCAGGGCAAACTCACCAAACTTGCTGTACAGATTGGCAAAGCAGGTGCGTGGGACTTCATGTGGCCAATTACGAGGTGATGTCATATGGAAAGATAAATCACCTCACTCTGACACACTTACACTCTGCTTTGATGATCCTCTTGTCTTTTGTTTTTTTATCCTCATACAAAAATATATTCAGTGTTGAAGAATGTTACTTTTAAAAGTAAAGTGTGACAATATTCTATTACTTCTTTAAAAAGTAACCATTTGTGCTAGATTTTTTTTATGGAAAGTAACATGTTATTTTACTTTTGTTAACTGAAAGGAAGCACTCGCTAATTGTGTTACATTGTTATTTTTTATGGAATTTAACTTATTGTGTTACTTTTGTTACATATTCTCTCAATGAATTGAGTGGAAGTGCTGATTAATTGTATTACGTTGTTACTTTCTATGGAAAGTAAGTGTTAAATGTTTACATGATACATTTTGTGCTATGTTTTTCACTGTCAACTGAAAGGAAGCCCTCGCCAATTGTGCTACATTGTTACTTTTTATAAAATGTAACACATTGTGTTACTTTTGTTATATATTTGTTACTTTTGTTACTTTTTATGGGAAGTAACATGTTAAATGCTTGTGCTACATTTTCTTAATGTTAACTCAGAGGAAGTAGCAGCTAATTGTGTTACAATGTTATTTTTCATGGAATGTAACACATATTAATTTTACATATTCTCGCCTTTACTGAGAAGTGCTGACTAATGAATTTGCTACTTGTTATTGAAATTAATGTGTTAAGTTACTTTTGTGCTAAATTTTCACACTGTTAACTGAGCAGTTACTGACCACTAACTGAAAGTGAAAAAAGTGAAAGTGTTGTGACAAGTATGGTAACCCATATTTGCAATTTGTGCAACCTCCGGGTTACAAGTCCAACTCTCTAACCATTAGGCCACAACTTTGTAATGTTGTTACTTTTTATGAAAAGTGTTATGTATTTTGTTACATGTCACATGTTAAGCATAAGTGTTTTCTCTCACAATCACAATAGTTTATCATGCACACAAATAATTCTCATAAAAAAGTCAAAGAAAAGTTTAGTTTATGGCACCTAAAATATACCCCTATTTTTATTTTTCCATAATAAATAAATTAAATAATTAGAAATTAATCAGATATTATACTGTAATTTTGATAAGTAATCCGTTACTTTATTTGTTACTGTATTTATAGTCAATAGATTGATTTAAGATTAATCTGCAAGTATCATGAATATTATTTATTATGCTGTTTTGTTTGTAGGTCTTGTAATGTCAGCCATTACAGTTATCATTCTGGTGCTGTACTTTGTGATCGAGACATTTGTGGTGGAGGGGCGGAGCTGGTTGCCTGAGTGCACGCCCATCTACGTGCAGTATTTTGTCAAATTCTTTATCATCGGTGTGACTGTGCTGGTGGTAGCTGTGCCTGAGGGTCTTCCCCTTGCTGTTACCATCTCCCTGGCCTATTCAGTTAAGGTGAGAGAGAACAGGTGCACTGTGTGTGTGTGTGTGTGTGTGTGTAAACAGCAAATTAAATGTATTGTAGAGCTAACAGATTACATAAGCAAATATGAACAAAATAAACATTTTTCTCTGGATGTTTTTTCATGTAATATATTTAGCATGTTTTGCTTTTGTCAACACTGTTTTTTCACCACCCAAATCTTCTGTTGCTGTTAATTCAGAAAATGATGAAGGACAATAACCTAGTGCGTCACTTGGATGCCTGTGAGACAATGGGCAATGCCACTGCCATCTGCTCCGACAAGACCGGCACCCTCACCACCAACCGCATGACTGTAGTGCAGTCCTACATCAATGACCAGCACTTCCGTGAGATACCGGACCCCAGCCAGATCCACCATAACACCCTGGAGATGATTGTCAATGCCATATCTATCAACTGCGCCTATACCTCCAAGATCATGGTGAGAGATTGGATATGACTAATTTAAAAAAAACTGATACATTTTTTTTTTTTAAATCCAGCCTTAGCTCGTTTTAGCTGGTTAAGCCCTGGCCAAAATGGTCTTCAGATGGTCTAGCTGGACTCCCAGCCTGGCCAATCTAGTTTTTAGCTGAAAAGTGCGCAAAACTCCTTTAAAACCAGGCAAGTTGCCTGTGTGTAATCTGTGAAACTTACAGTAAAAACATACAGCAGTGGTTGCCAGAACTTTACTATAAAAAATATGGTAGCACCATTTTAGGGTTACAGAATTAACTTAAATTTACTGTAACAAAAAAGTATATCCCATTAACTGATATAATTTTAATAGTACATCCTACTACTCTGTTTTGTACCTGTATAATATATATTGATAACCAAGTCTGTACATTTAACAATATTTTACTGTAAAATTACTTAAAATGCCCCCTTTTAAAGATTTTCACCATATATAGTAAGGGAACTTGCCGTTAACCAAGTAACAGACATACCGTAGAATTTTACAGCATTTTACTGTATTTTACTGTTAAAATTACAAACATTTTTTACAGTTCAGGCTGGGAGACCAGCATGCCAACTTAGGCTGGTAAGATGTTTTTTTACAGGAGGAAGCTACTGTTATACTGGCTTGTCAAATATAAACAGAAACTTTTTCATCCAGTTTTTTTTTCATTTTCTCTTCTCGGTGTCCCTTGCTTCATTTCAATTCTCTTTCAGCCACCGGATGTGGAAGGTGGTCTGCCCAAGCAGGTTGGTAATAAGACAGAGTGTGGTCTGCTGGGCTTTCTGCTGGACTTGAAGAGAGACTACGCCCCTGTAAGAGAGCAGATCCCAGAGGAGAAGCTTTACAAAGTCTACACTTTCAACTCTGTACGCAAGTCCATGAGCACTGTGGTGCAGATGCCGGATGGCAGTTTCCGGCTCTACAGCAAAGGAGCTTCTGAGATCCTTCTGAAAAAGTTAGTAAAACATCACAAGATCTTGGAATTATAACCGTAACTTCAGATTTTGTTGTTTCTTTTGTTGGTTGTCATTAAACACCTCTTTTTGTCCTTCCTGCTTTCTCTTTTTCTACCTCAGGTGTTCCTCGATACTTGGTGCCAATGGTGAAGCACGAAACTTCAAGCCACGGGACCGAGATGAGATGGTGAAGAAAGTGATCGAGCCCATGGCGTGTGAAGGCCTGCGAACCATCTGCATCGCTTATCGTGATCTTCCCTGCAACCCCGAGCCTGACTGGGATAATGAAGCTGAAATTGTCACCGATCTGACCTGCATCGCTGTCGTTGGGATTGAGGATCCCGTTCGACCTGAGGTACAGTATGTAGTGAGAACATGTATCCTATGTCCTTGGAATGCGTTTTCTCTTTTCAAGCATTTCTCTGCTCCCTCCGCAGGTACCTGAAGCCATTTGCAAGTGTCAGAGGGCAGGCATCACTGTGCGCATGGTCACCGGCGACAACATCAACACAGCACGAGCTATTGCTGCCAAGTGTGGCATCATTCAGCCCGGGGATGACTTTCTGTGCCTGGAGGGTAAAGACTTCAACCGAAGAATCAGGAATGAGAAAGGAGAGGTTCGTGAAAATTGAATTTCAGACATCTCAGCACCAAACCAATACAGACTAAACTGAATCATGGATGTCTGGGCTCTGTGTACGTGCATGTGTGTGTGTTATAGATTGATCAGGAGAGGATTGATAAGATCTGGCCCAAGCTCAGAGTCCTTGCACGTTCCTCCCCCACGGACAAACACACTCTCGTAAAAGGTGAGATTCTCTTTCTACTCATTCTCAAACCCAGAATCTTACTGTACACTGCCAGGTATGGTATGGGGATTATGTAGTGTCCAAAACTGTTAAACTAATATTATATTTATATTTTTTACTAATATTTTAAATGTAATTTTTAAATCATATTTTAAATTAATTTCTTATTGTTTTTTTTGGTAACACTTTAGTATAGGGACCAATTCTCACTATTAACTAGTTGCTTATTAGCATGCCTATTATTAACATATTGGCTGTTTATTAGTACTTATAAAGCACATATTCTGCATGACCATATTCTACATCCCTAATCCTACCCAATACCTAAACTTAACCAAAGACTAAAGAATAGCCAAGACGTGTCACTCGTATAGTTCTGAATTGGGAAAAATGCAACGCTCAATATGGCTGCTCCATCGAAGGAATCCCCGCCTTCTGAATAAAAGAGCCAATTGCTAATCGGTAAAATCATTGCGTCACTGCAGCTGACGTTAGAAGTCCTGGTTGCTATAGAAACATTCAACTTTCTGAGATGCACACTTAGGACTGTGTATGCGCACTGGCTGGCCTAGCCTGAAAACTATTTGAGCAAAAGAAACATCATTTATGAGACAGTTGTTGTCAGATTTCATTGGTGATTTCAAATATTAAATTTAATCGTAAGCTTGGTGAACAGTTTTGGAGAATTTGATGTTTCCCCATTCAGAGAGATAGGAGCTGCACTTGCATTCCCGAGAGGCGTTTCAAAGATGGCCGCCGAGTGAAATGGCTTGCCTTAAAGGGACTTTGACTTAACAACTACCTTACTAACTATTAATAAGCAGCAAATTAGGAGTTTATTGAGGCAAAATCCATAGTTAATGGTTTGTTAATAGTGAGAATTGGACCTTAAAATAAAGTGTGACCATTTTTTTTATTCAAAATCGTAATCCATTGCCAACAACTCTTGGCACTTTGGATCAAACAGACATCTAGATTAAAAGATTTTAAGACCACAAGAAACTTACATTACTGTTTAAAATTTGGTGTCTGTAAGATTTTTTCTTTCATGTTTTTAAAAGAAGTATCTCATGCCAAGCAAATCTGCTGATGTAATTAATATTGTAAAATATTATAGCACTTACACTAAAATATTATTAGAATTTAAAATTTATTATATTTTAAAATGTCATTTATTGCTGTGATGGCAAAGCTGAATTTCAGCAGGCATTATTCCAGTCTTCAGTGTCACATGATCCTTCAGAAATCATTCTAAAATGAATATTTGGTGCTCAAGAAACACTTTTTATTATTATCAATGTTGAAAACAGTTATGCTGCTAAATATTTGTGTGTATTTTTGATCAGTTTAATGCATCCTTGCTGAATAAAAGTATTTCTTTAAAAAATGACTGACTTATTGAAAAATAAATTTGACACTCAGTAAGGCGTAACATACAGTCAATTAAAATGTATCAGACTGATGAATTCATGTTCTGTGGTGACAGTAGTTGTATTCAGTGATTGGTCAAGGTTATGTGCTAGCTGGTAATTGTTTGCTGTGTGATGATGCCATTGTGTAGGCATCATTGACAGCACTGTGCTGGAGCAGAGACAGGTGGTGGCCGTAACTGGTGATGGGACCAATGACGGGCCGGCTCTCAAGAAGGCAGATGTGGGCTTTGCGATGGTAAGCACATCTGACGAACACTTCCCACTAATCTATTCATATATTCATCCTTCCATCCAAGAGGTAGTTAAGAGATGAGTAATTGTCAGAGATGAATATTGATTTATTAGAAGCTCTACTTATATCATGTTCACCCAACAAGGGTGTATGATAACATAGGAAGATCTCCAGTGAATAAAAGCCACTTTTCTCCAATGAATCTGACTTTGATGTATGTATTACCTAAATCTCTTGGTCTTTCTCTCTTGCCGTCTCCAGGGTATAGCAGGCACTGATGTAGCTAAAGAAGCCTCGGACATCATTCTGACCGATGATAACTTCTCCAGCATTGTGAAGGCTGTCATGTGGGGGAGAAATGTGTATGACAGCATCTCCAAGTTCCTGCAGTTTCAGCTTACTGTCAATGTAGTGGCCGTCACGGTAGCTTTCACCGGGGCCTGCATTACACAGGTAGAACACACACTCAAACCACTGTAATTTTAGTATTATTAATATGCTATTATAGTATTTATTAATATTTTGAGTTTTTTTTTTTTTTTAGTGTTCATTTTAATTTTAGTTTTAGTAATTTATTGCTTCAACTTACTTATTTATTCATTCATTCGTTTTTTTAAGTTCAAGTTTTTATGTAATATTTGTAATTTATTTTATTTCATCTTTATTTCAATAACCGAAAATTAGTTTTAATATTTTTTGTTTTAGTTAACAATAACAACACTGACTCACACACAAGTTAAGCACAATCGACAGCATTTGTGGTATAATGTTGATTACCTCAAAAAATAATTTTTAATTGTCCCTCAAAATTCCGGGTTGTGGTGATGCACTTACAACTGGGCCAATTTGTTTGAGGATTTAAAAGCAGAAATGTGAAACTTATACTTTTAAAAAAGCACTAGCAGTCATTTTTCTGTTAAAATGTGTAATTTTAGGTGCTCTTTATTTTAATCGTTTTAGCTGTCAGGTTGTCATGGCAATGAAGTTGTAAATAACTTTACACAGAGAATGTTAGCAAGTATTTTTCAAACTTAATTCATGTTACATTGTTTACGTTTTGTGGCTATACAGTTCAAACGGAGTATTTTAACACTGACTCATTCACTTCCATTGGAAGTGCCTCAATGTAAAATATATTTCCTTTTTTTTTTAATAAAGTAAAGGGGGACAAGTTGAACAGTGTTGTTTGTCTTAGCATGTAGCGTTGCGGTAAGTGTGAGACAGCCACTCTAGATCGCTGATAGCTCTGTCATGCGGATTAGGAGAACTGACTGCATTGCACCTTCCAAGCTCATAGCAAAAGGAAGTTGTAATTAAAACAGCCACTAAGCCTGCTGGAGACCGGTGGTACTGCACACTTCACTGGCTAAGAGTTTAGTTCACTACTTTCATCAGTTCATCATTCATTCATCTCTGTGTTTTTGTGTGTAGGACTCTCCACTAAAAGCAGTACAGATGTTGTGGGTTAATCTGATCATGGACACATTTGCCTCTTTGGCTCTTGCCACTGAGCCACCAACTGAAGCTCTGCTGCTTAGGAAACCCTACGGCCGCAACAACCCCCTCATCTCGCTCACAATGATGAAGAACATCCTGGGTCATGGAGTCTATCAGCTCATCATCATCTTCACCCTGCTGTTTGTTGGTGGGACAGAGAGTTCAAGAATCAATGTTGTTTTGCATTATTTATTAAATGATGAATAATACAGTAATAATTCGGATGAAAGTCTTAACTGAAAGTGTTGCAGCTTACAGCTCAATTATAACATTATAGTCTCAGATATGTTACATATATTTACATTTTCATTTAGCAGAAGCTGTGAGAATGAGAGCAATGCTAGCATAAGTGACTAGTCTAAAGGTGAAACAATGAGTGCCTACTGAGTGCACCTTTAAAGGTTTTAAGAATGTCTTAATTTTGTATGCCTTCATCTCTTTCATCCTAACAAGGAGAGAAAATCTTCAACATCGACAGCGGCCGTAACGCCCCCTTACACTCCCCCCCGTCTGAACACTACACCATCATCTTCAACACCTTTGTCCTGATGCAGCTCTTCAACGAGATCAACGCTCGCAAAATTCACGGCGAAAGGAACGTGTTCGACGGCATCTTTGGGAACCCTATCTTCTGCAGCATTGTTCTGGGAACATTTGGAGTGCAGGTCAGAGCTACTGTTTGTGTTATGCTCCTTGAGCAGATTCTCCAGATTTCTGCAGAATTTGAACCCTATCATTAACAAAGTTCTGCATGTCTCTCACCCCTTGTCTGTTAGTTTATTAATATACTATTTAATTAGAATTTTTGGGTTGTTTGCCCTTTGAAAAAAAAAAAATAATAATCCAAATATCTTTTAAACGAGATTAATTTATTTGAGAAGCATAATTGCATAAGATATTAAAGCTAGTTCTACTAATATTTAGTTTATATTTCTAAACAATTATATTTGAAACTATTACTGTATATAGTTTTTTCTCACCTTGTTTGCAAATAGTTTTTTCTTGCATTAAGAATAAATTTAACAAAATTCAATATTAAAACATACTATATATATATATATATATATATATATATATTATATCATGTTTTATATTCCACTGAGAAAAATGCATGCAAAAATGCATACAGGTTTGAAATAACATTTTTGGGTGAACTATACCGATAAATCCAATCAACAGATTTATACAGACTATTTTTGAAATCAGAATTCTATGTGGGCCTGTCCATGAGGTTGTATGAAAGGTGACATGAGAGGGTAACTGATGTACTGGGTGCCTGTGCTGAGTAAGCTGGTGTTGACTATGTTTGGTTGTTTGCTGTTGATCTGTGTGCAGATTGTGATTGTGCAGTTTGGGGGCAAGCCCTTCAGCTGTGCCCCTCTCAATGTGGAGCAATGGCTGTGGTGCCTCTTTGTGGGAGTTGGAGAATTGCTGTGGGGTCAGGTAGGAGAGCAAGAGACACAAAGAACAAATAAGGAGAACAACTATGAAAGACAATATTTGTGTAACTGAAGGTATCGAGTATTTAATCAAGTTTAAGATTTTTCAAAATTCTTACGGATATGACATCTTTTTTCCCCAAAGAATCCAATGTCTGATAATTGTCCATTTTGAAAATATTGCATCAGCTGATAACTGTGCTAGACTGCCTTATAAACACAAGTGGTTATCCTGCACAGATGTTTCAATATATTTTTAGTGAACTTTAAGAAAATATTAAAATAAATGTTCATTATTTTGTGTGCATTCAATATACTTTCCTTTTCAATTGTATTATACAGTGTATGTGAACACCCAAATGTGCCACATGCGATTCATTTTAAACCAGTGTCTATTAATTGGGAGTTAGTCCTCCTTTTACTGCTACAACAGCTTCTACTCTTCAGGGATGGCTTTTTTGTACTAGATGTTGGAACATAGCTTTGTGAAATTGCTCCCATTAAGACACAAGAGCATCAGTGAGGTCAGGCACTGATATTGGGTAATGAGGTCTGGCTCATCCCAAATTCATCCCATGGGTGTTCAATTGGGTTCAAGTTCTTCCACAGTACAGCATTTTATTGATGTAAGAGCTCTTTGAGTCTCATCCTACTGTGAATATTTGTCAGTGGATGTATGATCAATTTTATGCATCTTGAAGTATCGTAAATTGGTGTAGCCAAAATAGACAAGCCCGTAAAAGGTGCTAAAAGCGATTTTTAATAGAATACTTAGAAAATATTACAGACCACAGGCTCATTGTCTAACCACTCAAAGCCAAGTTTTTTAAGGTACCTTCTGCCTGTCATTTGTCAAATATGGGCAGCAGGAAGCTGAGAGCTTGGTAGATTAATTGGATCTTGCAAGTTAAGCACCAACTCCAGCTTCATAAGCATTTTTCAGTTTTGTCTCACAAGAATGTTATTTTGCTGCCGCCACTTCTGACGCCTCAGCGGGTTCTTTGTAGGGTGGAGTTTTGGGAAGAGGGGGGTGGTTCATTCCATAAATAAATCTGATAGAATGGCAGTACTTTTAATTAGTGTCTATGTATTTTTGGCCATAGTACCATTCTGGAGCTGCATGGGAATTGAGAATGTGGTTTCTCGGACATATATACATATTGGTCAGACATTTGATAGAGCTGAACAATGATTGTGACGATATTAAAGATCTGGCAGATATGATAATCTGATCATTAGTTTCATGTTAAGGCTAACAGTAAAAATCTAGACTTGTCTAAATAAAAAAATAAATAAAAATAAAACACTAAAAACTAAAATCAGTTAATTAAGTGAATTTACACATCACAACATTATAATTGTACAGGATGAAACATGGGGAAAAGAGCAATATCCAATATGCTACCGTTCAAAAATTTTCCATGTTCAAATATTTTATTTTGTATGTTATATTCTCAGCAAAACTGCATTTATTTGATCAAAATTACAGTAATATTACAATTTAAAGTAACTGGTTTCTCTTTTAATATATTTTAAAGTGTAATTTATTTCTGTGATTGCAAAGCCATCAATATATGCTTTTGACCGTCTCAGCGATATCTTTGTAGGGCAGAGTTTTGGTAATAGGGAGTGTGTCTAATTCAGTTTCAATCAGTTCCAGATTTCCAGATGTATTTTATATACTGTATAACAAGTGCTGCTCACCATCATACACAGTGGCGTGCACAAAACCTCCGGAGGGGCAGGGTGAAATGGCATTACAAGGGCACAATCGCGGACCGGGGGGTGTCCAGGGGCACCTAGATCGGACCGAAAGGGCACTTTAGCACACCTCAACTCGAGCCCCCCTGCACCCACCCCTTGTGCATGCCTCTGATCATACAGTATCAGTCATTCCACTCCTTTTAAACTAATTCTTCTTTTCATCTCAGGTGATAGCCACAGTGCCCACTAGTCACCTGAAGTGTCTGAAGGAGGCAGGCCATGGGCCAGGGACAGACGAGATGACGGAGGACGAGCTGGCCGACGATGAGGAGGAGATAGACCACGCTGAGAGAGAGCTACGCAGGGGACAGATCCTCTGGTTCAGAGGCCTTAACCGTATCCAGACTCAGGTGCTGTGCATGCGACCCCTTACCTCTGACCAATCAATCCTTCTGGTAGATCTAGTTAGAGCACTAGTCACGTAAGATGGTTTCCACAGACAGTAGAACTTTTGTCTCCTCAAAGAATGCTCTTTTGCTTTTCCTTTCGTTTCCTCCTCTACTCTCCCCGCTCTCTCTAGACCCTCTCTGAGTCACCAACATTAGTTCATCCTTGCCTTCTTCCTTTTCTCTTTCCTCCTCTCTTTCGCTAATCTGTCTTTGTCTCTGCTTCCCACTGTTGGGACCCTTCACTTGCGTATAGATTTCCCCCAACAAGAATGTATAACATTCCCTCCCCCCTTCCCTGCTCAGAGCTCTGTTTTGTCACTCTATTATGTAACTCGAGTCCTTTAAATTCCTAATTTATTGCTTAGTAACTCATCTGGCTCAGAGTCACAGCACAGAATCAGACGCATCCCGACACGCTGCATGGGACTTGAGAATGTTGCTCCTCAGACTTGATAGAGCTTGAAAGATTTGATGAGGATCTGAACAATGTTTGACTCTGGGGATGCACCAATATTTAAGATCTGGTCGATATGATAAGCTGTTGATTATTTTCATGTTGTGGCTGATATTGAGTATGAGTATGAAATAAGGGGGTCAGTAAGATTTTGTTAAAAATGTTCATGTCTTTTAACTGTTTTATGCTTACCAAGGCTACATTTATTTGATAAAAAATGCTGTAAAAATTTCAAAAATATATATTATTATTTAAAATAGATTTTTTTTCCCCCGTTTTAACATATTTTAAAATGTAATTTATTCCTGTGATAGCAAAGCTGAATTTTCAGCAGCGATTACTCCAATTTTCAGCATCACATGATCCTTCAGAAATCATTCTAAAATGCTGAATTGATGCTCAAGGAACAAATATTATTATCAATGTTGAAAACATTTGTGCTGCTTAATATTTTTGTAGAAACTGTGATACATTTTTTCAGGATTCTTTGATTAATAGTAAGTTCAAAAGAACAGCATATAGTTGAAAGAGAAACCTTTTCACATTTTAATTGTCTTTACTGTCATTTTGATTAATTTAATTTGTCCTTATTGAATAAAAGTATTAATTTCTTTCAGGAAAAAAAAAACTGACCCAAACTTTTGAACGGTAGTGTATCTGCTGATACAATAAAATTAACCTCTAATATCTACTGATATGGTGCTGTTTTATAGTGCATCCCTATCTTACACATCAAAGCTCATAACATTATCATAAATGTGCCTAACTTAATTACAATATAGGGTGAATATATTAGAAGTAGTTATTGTTTTGATTTGATCTGTATATACAGTATATAATCAACCAATTGTGTATTATACTATCTTGTTTCTCTTTCCATTTTCTGTTCACTATCTCTTTCTCTCTACAATTTTCAACCTTCATGGAAACTCAGCTCACAGGTTTTTTTTTTTTTTTTTGGATTGTTGAAGTAGTTTGATTTGAGGCCAATGCTTAATTAATTTCCTTGAGTACACTGAATTATACTGAAATGAATTATACTTATGCTTATACTTATAGTTCTCAGTCTGGACTCCATCCATGACTTTAAGTGAGATTTTGAAGACATAGAATTGTCATAAGACTGTGTGAAGACTGGTTCCTTAAATTATGAAACTTAGTAGCATCTTTGTGCAAGGATCTGTTGTGTGGTGCACGTGTGACTTGTGAGTTAGTATTACTTTTGTTTCCTGATCAGAACTGTGCTAGGTACATATATGATATTGAAGGTCAGCAGGCGTAGAGGAGGTGGGTCATGGTGCCTGTTGGTTTTTGGCACTGTAACTTTAGAAAGAGCTTTTATAATAGAACATTCTCAGTGCATATGCATGCATGATGCAGCACTCACTCTTTTGGCCATGTTCTTGCCAATATACACCATCAGTGAACAGACTTGATGGGATAGTAGAGCATTATATAGATATTTATTTTTTTTTATTTGGAGTGCCCAGTATGGATTTCTGAAGTGCTTGTAAAGCTCCTTACAAGGTTTCCATTGATTCCTTCACTGCTCGACACTGAGTAGGCAAAACACAACACACATTATAGCGGCTGGCCTCATATCATCAGTCGGCCTAATCTAATCACGGGTTTTATCCTGCGTTGGCTCCAATGAGGAGAGCACCTCCATTTCTCAGTGTTGTGTTTTTGACACAGGGTATTTGCAGATGAATTATCGATGAGATCTTATGTAAGCTGATTGCATATTCTCACAGCATTTCCCATTTTGGTTTGGCATGGTTCAACTTGCTCTTAAGGGCTGCATGTAAAATTGATTCAGCGCATAGAGTTTCAGAGAAGTGAAACATTTGGGGTGGTGTGGTTGCAGAGGTATCCATTTGTTGTGTTAGCTTTTATTACAAAGTGATGTTCAGTGAACTTATCTTGTGCAGTCTATTTGATATTTTAACAAAGCCATTTAGAAACAAAAGAATGCTGCAGTGACATCCACACTCTATTTGTGGAAAAACAGAACAGAATCCTGTTAAATTAACTGACAAATTAAGGCAGCGTGTTTCTTTAAAGTGAATATGAAATGCCACTTGCAACCAATTTATTTTTTCTTGAGTGAATGTGATATTGGATGTTATATGGGAAATGACTGAATAGTGGAAAGTGATCTTGATATGACAGGTCTTGGTGGTCAGCGAAAAGTTGTTTTAGTTATTACATTTTGATGAATGATTATAAAAGACTTTTATTTTCTTTGTTATATTATGCACCAATAAATTATTCTCAATAAGACCCAGACCATGTACTAACAAAGTAAATTGGATCAATTATAATTTCATCATGACTTTCATTATGATCCTGGTTGCAGATCCTTAAAGGGGTAGTTTACCCAAAAATGAAAATTATGTCATCATTTACTCAGCCTCATGTTGTTTTATGTATGACTTTCTTTCTTCTGTGGAATACAAAAGGAGAAATTCTTAATTAATTATGTTGGTTCCCATGTTTGTGAAGCCCCAAAAAGGACAAAAATGCCATGTGCTTTCCAAGTAGCTAGTCAGCCGCTTTGTGTGAGGAACAGACTGAACAAAAAAAAAATGTGTTAAAAATAACAGCAAATGGTTTTGGAACAACAAGAGGGGGAGTAAATAATGACAGAATTTTCATTTTTGGGTGAGCTATCCTTTTAATGTTTAAAGATGTACCCCTTAGTACACAATGCCAGCATAGCTTTGTTTTCTCCTGCCGGGTGAAGTATCACAAGCATATTTTCTCCTCGCTCTGCTCCTTGTTACTCTTTCTTTCTCTTTCTTTCTTTTTAAGTGTGTATATGATGTGGTTCTCTCTCTCTCCTGCAGATGGAGGTAGTGAGTACGTTCAAGAGAAGTGGTTCGTTTCAGGGTGCAGTGAGACGTCGATCCTCAGTGCTCAGCCAGCTCCATGACGTAACCAATATTTCTACCCCCACTCATGTAGTTCTCTCCACTGCCAATGCAAGCGCCGCTCCCGGGAGTGAGTTCCCTGCTTTCCCTACCTGTATCAGACACGACACTCACACACTCAAGAAACATTCACAAAACATCAAAACTCTTACAAACACACTCACACACGCACCAAGCATTTCTCCTCACACACAGCAGCACATGAAACACCCCATCGTGTGTGCCGTGGTACTTCTGTTCTGTATTTGAAACCTTCTGTGTAGTCGTCTCTCTGTGATTGAGTGGCTCTTTGCAAGATGGCCTGTCTGGCTTTGACTGATCCTCTATGGGCCGCTGTTTGTGTGTCTCCTTCTCTCGATTTCTGTGTGCTGTCTTGCTGTGTCGGGCCTTTTCTCTTGCTGTTGGGTTCTTCTTTGTTGTCTAAAGGTGTTGGTTTTGTTTTCAAATCCCCGTCTCTCGATAAGCCATTCTCTGTCTTCTCTCTGTCCAAAACTAAACCTATTACCTACAACACAATGTGTAAAAAAAAAATCAGCGTTAGTGTTGAGTGCACAGCAGAAAACATTTTTTTTTAAATTTGATTTATTTTTTTAAAACTGAAGTGGTTGCTTTTTTTTTTTTTTTTTTTGAGCAAATGCAATTTTAAAAATAATGACTGATCAGATTTCATAAACATGAACCACTGGTTGGACAAACAGATAGTCCCGCCCCCAATCCAATGCCATTGGCTCAACCATATTTTTTTATCTCAGTATTGTTTTAATTGCACCACAGAGAAACACTTGTTGCACTTTTTGGATAAATCAATCTACAAATGACTCGTTTATAGTTGTCTATTGATATTTTGGACTGTAATAGGATTTTAACATCAACAAAAATGACACACTTCAGCTTTAAAGTAACGTATTCTTAAAGATTTGTTAAAAACATTTGGAGAACAGAATATATCACATAAGACATGACTATTAAAATAACATACAAGACATGACTTTGATAAATATTACATAATTTAGTAATTGCTTGAAATAATTAAATAATTGCTTTTACAATTAATTATTTTAAAAGAATTATGTCTGGACATTGCAAGAAGAACCTGTATTTAAACCTGAATTTAGTCCTAAAATCCACAGAAAAAATACAGAGAGAACACGGCACTCACTTCCGAGAGGCTTCTATTAGCGTGGTTTGCTAAAAAGATGAGGTTTTACAGTATAAGCAGAGGTACTCAATGTGCTGCACTGCTATGGCTTTTGAGCCTACACAGGGGTAAACCTTCGAGTATAAGCCCTATAAGGTTCTTCTCCCTCTGATAGGTCTCTCTCTCTCTCTCTCGCTCTCTCATTTTCTTTCCCTCTGTTACTTTTTTCCAGATAATGCATCTTGTAACTTTCATCATAAGACTGAGTGAAAGCATCCTCTAATGTCTCTGTGCTACTGACTTCATCTCTCTTCCACAGATCCTCACAGTCTTTTTCTCTGTCCTATGGTTCACATGGTTCATGGCTAAAATCTATTTTTACCCGTCTCCTGTTCTCTTCTCTGTATGCATCTTCTAAACTCTTCTAAACTAACAAAGTCTTTCATTTTTCTATCAAACATAGTACATTCTAGCTATCATTCTTTAAAGGAATCAAAACAAGGGTTCAAAATCAGTTCAGCTCTAGCATCTGTGTAATTCTGTTGAAAATATTATCAGCTTGTCCGTCAGTTTATAAAAACTATCAAAGATTACATATGACTACATATGCTGTCAATAGAGTCAAAAGTTAAAATTCTGTCCTAAAAATACTTTACTAGCTCATGCCGTTCCACACCTGAATGGCTTTCTTTCATATGTGAAACATGCAATAAGATTGTTTTAAAGAATGTTCATGCTGCTCTTTCATACAATGAGAGTGGATGGTGACCAAGTGCTTCATTAAAAGCATTCTAAAAGTAGCATACACACTATATCCAAACAGCATTGTGAGAGGAACAGACCAACATTTAAGTATTAAAAAAAAACTCAAGTATTAAAAATGTATCCCACTTTAATAGAGATTTTAAGAATGTGTGTATTATATGTTTTCTTGCTGGGAATAGTGGACTAACTCAATTTTTATCAATGCTTATAGATTTTTTCCCCAGCTATTTCTCCATCTTTGAAAAAAAAAATTGTTGTTTTTTTTCAGGCTAGAAATGTTAATCACGACTACCATATCATTGCGTCTGACTGCTCTGTGATGTGATTCATGTGTATCTGTACATTTTTCATCACATTTTTCACTTGGTGTCTGCGTACTGTGCTTATATGGGTGAAATGTGCCACTACTCACTCCAGTCTTCTTTTTCAGCCCTATACATATCATTTTGTTGTTTTGCTCACGCAAAATTTTCTTTGGCTTTGACTGAGATTTGCAAACATTAACTTTAGTTTAAACATCATTCTGTCAACCTCATGTTAGAAATCATACTGCAGAAACATTTAGTAGATGTTAGTGTGTTGATATCTTTGCCTAAATGTAGTATTTTTATTCATTTATGATGTATATATTATATATTATATGCATATCTTTGAAAATCATTTTATGCTAGCATTGTATCTCTTCAGAGAAGAAAACACTATATTTAGATCAATCATTAATCACAGCTCTCCAAAAATGTGTTTTTTTTTCCTCACAGCTGTCTCACACACAAATGTTTGACAGATCTACGGATCAAGTTTGTTTTCACTTTAGGTTTTGTAAGATGGGTGCACATTGTAACCCAGATGTTGAGAAGAGATGCAGTGCTGTCACTGATAGATTCATGTTTATCTCACTCATTTGCTCAAACATTTGCCTTGTACGGTAATGGTTCACTGCTCAAAACAGATGCTCACTATCAGTCAGTGGAATATATTTTGTAATATAAGTGGAAATGTCCAAGCGACGCTAATTTATTAAAGTTTTCCTAGCTTTGATTACTACCATCTGATAAAAAATAATCATATTCATAGACTGTGTCACCGTGTGAATTCTGCCAGCAGATTATACAGTGCATTTTATAAAGTGCATTGCTAAATGTATAATATTGTATCATTTCATAAAGTTCACCGTAGTTAAATTATTCAAGATGCAAATATGTGAGATATGTGAGATAAATCATAAATTATGGAAGAGAATACCAATACAAAATACACCTATTGCTGTAATTAAATAACTCCTTATAAGCCTTGTTTGAAGTTTGGCAAAAAAAAAAAAGAGAGAAAAAATGTAGATAGTTTACATTAATACATTACATTAATAGGACACAATTTGAAATTCTTTAAATTGAGAGAACTGTACTGTATGATTAAGAGCATTTACAGTCACTTCTAAATATAGATTATGTCAAATTAAAGTCAGCAGTTAGATACTGTCATATTTGACCAGCTTCATTACTTACTCATTATAAATAGTGAAAATAGGTCCAGCGATTACTCTTTTACAGTCTTTATGCATAAACCTTTCTGAATGCATTCTTACAAATTCAACATGAAGTCATTATTTCATCACTGCTTTGTTAACTACTTCCTCTCCTTTCCTGCATCTTATCACTCTGTCTGCTTTCAAGTCTTTCTGTGTAGATCTATTTTCATTTCAGACATCTTTGGGAAATATTTGTTGAGTAAAGAAGTCTTTTTTGGTTTTTGGTTTTAATGATAAAGTTTTTCCATCAAGCTTTTTTTACTTTGAAGGATAGTGGATAGTAATCTGGCATGCAAACATCCAGAGCAAAGAGAGAGAGAAAAAAACTCAATCAGTTTTAAACAAACACACATTTCCCAAAAGCGGGCGATATACTCGAACGTTTACCTGTATCCATGCAAAAAACAGAAAGACAGAAACTCAAAGAAAAAAAATGAAAACAAACAGTCTCTCAATTCAGATTTGCATGACTTTTTCTCAACAAACAGGCTCTTTGGAAAAACAGATAAGCAATTAACCAAATGCTTGACCGTCCCTTCCTGTTTATTTGTTTGTTTTGTCTCTTGTAAATTCTTTCTTGGTCATTTTAGCTTCTTTTCCTTTGCTGGGTGAGTGTTGAAAAGAGGGTTGGGGTGGGCGGCACCGGCCTGTGGCCACAGCAAAGGATCGCGCTCTCAAATCTCCTTCCTTCTGAATATATACACACGAGAGACGCGTGTGTATATGTGCTCCAGCCGCATTTGAGTTACTCTTACAGCATGAGTCTGACTGCTTACCATCATGCATTCAAGTTTTTGAGTTTGACCTCGACTTTCATTGTTTCTGTTCCTGTAACACGACAACGAGACAGCTGCACTGGAATGAGCATTTTGCTTTCTGATCGGTTCCCGTGCTCCTTCTTCTTTTCTCTGCATATAGACTGAGGCAGATCTCATCAGCACTCTTCAGCTCTTCTCTGTGTGTCATCTGCACTCGACTGCTCTGCTGCATGCCAAAAGATGCTCGCACTCTCTCTATCTCTCTCACTGAATGTGCTTTTCCACACCTTTCTAAACATCCACGATATGAATATGTCATCTAAACAGTAATCAAAAATAGTATCCCTTACCAAGATCAAAAACAAAATTCAAGTCCAGGCCTATGAAACTGTATAAAGGTGTGATCCATTTGTGCTGATAAGTTGACTTTTGCAGAAACCAGAGATGCTGTGACCTTGTTTATTGTGCCTGCTCTGTTCTTGTCAGTGTGATGGTGCTTGTTAAGGTCTTCTGTCACAGCGGTTGGTGTCATGTAATCAATGGCTCAGTGCCAGGAAGTGACTAGTCCCAGAAAAGTCATCATCATCCATCTAGATGATGTCTCTGGAAATGTTATAACTTATCCTCTGGCAGCCAGTGTAATCTGAGCCTGCAGAGTAATTTATCATATAGGCCTACCAGAGCAGACTCACACATCTGTAGATAATTTGCATGTGTTTCTTGAAATATGCACTATTTTGTCATATGAGATTACTGGAGTGCCATTGCTTCATTGTTACTACACTCCTGAATGCTGCTAGTACAATTGAGGAGTATGTCATAACTCCTCCGAGAACAGCATAGTGCATCACTGTGGGTGCGTCCTCTCTCCATCCCCCCAGCCAGACCCCCAGTCATGCTTCTGTCTATTCATTACATCCCCTTTGCTTAGCACTGTGTTGCAGATTCTTACCCACTGTTTCTTCCATTGGCTGTGTGTCTATGTGTATATCAAGACATCCTCCTTTATGCTTTTCTTTCTCTCCGTGTCACTACTTCAGTTTTCACCACTAATATGTCAATATACAGACATGACGTATGTTTTGTATTGGCTTTTTGTTTGGTACTTTGTGCTTCCATTCGTCTCTTTGTTTGAGGCCTGGTCTGTTTTCTGTTTTGAGCTGATGAGAATGTCCATCACCTTTAATTTTGAGTGATAACTGTGAATTGACAGCTTGGGTCCATCTTAGATTTGGTTTTGTTTTGTTTTTTTATCATCTGTCTTTCTTTGAGAAACACTTAAGATCTGGTTGTGCAGCTTTAGTATAAAGCCTTAGTTTATAGGTATTAGAATCTAAATAATGAATGTGCATTGTGTAATTTCTGCAGCATAAAACCTAAAACAGAATTGCAATCTGTTTGTTTCAGCATCCCATCATTGGCTTAACCAATGACCAGGGGCATCATGCACTGGTGGATGACCAAAGGAAAGAAAATATTTAGTATTAGAAACTAGTACAAATGTGTAGTGTTTTTCTAGTGGTACAGTTTTTGTTACAAAGACCAACCTATAAAGCAATATCATATAGGCAAGAATGCTGATATTTAGACCAGTAAAGAACAACAATTGCAAGTATGGTAGTGTTTTCATTTGACAGTTCAATAAATACAAGTAAAAATTTGGGGTAATTTACATTTTAAAAAGAATATTATCAGTTATTTTGCAGATTTTTGCTCCACCAATAGTTCCAAATGAATCCACAGCAGAATTAACTGTTGAGTCTTCAAGCAACAAACAGTGTGCTGTTTCATTGCCGAATGAATCAGTGTGATTGAATTAATTGGTTGAATGAATTATTCAATTACTCATAACCGGTGTTGTCACCATCTACTTGCTTAAGGTTGTAACATGCAGAAAGAGTCACTGAAAAATCCCCACCTCTAAAAATAAAAGTTATTTCTGTTGTTTCACAGTCAAAAATGTGCATTTGTAGGACACCTGTTTTCGCACATGCTATCAAATGGAATATACTTTGAAAGGCTACATGTTCAGCTGTAAACATAAATGTTTGCGTCAAAACTGAAGTGTACAGTTCAGTTTTGATGTGTCAAAACGGAAACATAATTTGGGCTTAAGCATTTGCTATAAAACTAAAGTACACTTTGGGATTTAGTGTTTGCGCCAAAACTAAAGTATACATTTGGTTTAAGTGTTCACATTAAAACTTAAGCATACATTGGGTTTAAGCGTTCACATTAAAACTTAAGCATACATTGGGTTTAAGTGTTTACATTAAAACTGAAGCATTTGCATCAAAAGAAGAAAGAAAAACAATTCTTGCAATTCTGTTTTTTGTGACTAGAAATTACACATTGCACCTTTAAGTACCAAAACAAAATTATTACTGTACCTACCCTAATAAAAAAAAGACAGATTCAGTTAATGCACAATTTTGCAGCAACCTGATCTTGAGCTGTCTGTGCATTGTAAGGCATGTTCAGAACAGGTTCTATGGTGTTTTAGGTCTTTTCAATCACACGTGTACTGAGAGATTTCTTTGCTCCCGCCCTCCTCTGTCTCAACCCTCTCCTTGTCCTCACTTCTCCCTCTCTGTTTTCTCTCTGTCCTCCTCTGTGCCTCGTCCCCTCTCTTCCCGAGTAGATGCAGGTGGTGAAAGCATTCCGTAGCTCCCTTTACGACGGAATCGAGAAACCCGCTTCCAGGAATTCCATCCACAACTTCATGGCACACCCCGAGTTTCTCATCAACGACTTCATCCACAACATCCCGCTGATCGACGACACCGACATTGACGACGAATCGGAGTGGTCGAGGCACAGCCACCACTTGCATCCGGCCTTCCGAAAGCCCCCTCCTCCTCCGGTCCAGCATCCGCAGCGTTCCCGCCCACCGCCCCGTCCCTACCGCCAGTACAGCCTCCCCACCACGCCTAACCGCAACAACAATGCCATCGAGAGTGGCGTCTACCACCTGAACCTCCCCACAGGCCCAGACGGGCACTGGACAACCCCCTCTCGACAGCTGTACCCCCTCCTCGCCCTGGAGACCTCTCTATGACTAACTGCGCTCCAGAGGATAAGACCCTAAGAACTTTGAGGATGTGGACCTGTGCGGGTCAGGCTGGCGGGGGAGGCTCCTACAGATACGTGGTAGGTGGTTGACCCCCAATACTAAGGCAGGGTCGTCCCATTACAATCATTCGCCCACTACCACCATCCACCGAAAGCACTATCACCCCTCATGTCTCAACAACAGCCCTACAGACACCTCTCCTCTTACTGTGTGGAGAGGAGGCCAGTCTGTTGCGTGTCTGTGGTTCCTTTGGATGGACCTGAGAAGGTGAGGAATCCAGACCCGATGGATTTTAGTGGCTCTTTAGTGCTGGTGACTATTGACTTCTCAGAATGCAAAGGAATATGTTCCCTACGGGTGGAGTAGGGGTCCATTCACTTTACTTTTTATCGGTGTTACTAAACTCAATATAATTATTATCATGTTTGACTTCTTACTATTGCCACCGTCATCCCGAGTGCTCGGATTATCATTGCAATATCACAGAAACAAATTTTATTACTCTGAGTAATGCTTTATGGATTAGCTTTAAAACATATTATTTATTAATTATTTTTTTATTTATTCATTTATTTATTGTGATCACCAAGATTTTTTTTTCATTCTCACTTAGTCTATATCTCTCTCTCTCTATGTGTCTGTGTGTGTGTCGTGTCTGTCCTGAAAGCATAAAAAAGCTAGAAAAAAATAAGTACTAACAAAGCAAAGATGATATTAATTTGAAGCTTAAACTAATTCAATTATAATGCGTCTGCTGATAACAAAAAGAAGACAAAAACGTTGCCGCACCATTTTAATGATCATTGTTTTTCAGCATTTTGTGTAAAAGAAAAATTATTCTATTATTTGAGGGCAATTTGTAGCTTCACTCTAAGTGAGAGTAAGCATTTTTTTTTTAAACACAAAAATCATGCACATGATATTTTAAACATTTACGCAACATGTTCATGTTTAAAATATGCTACAGGGTAGAGGATTTGGGCAATCCCATCACAGAGATTCAATGGTCGTGGGTGGGATTTCGGTGGTTTTTCATCTCAGCAATGGCAATCAGCTGTATGACAAAATGGCCTTGTTAATATGTCTTACCTTGTTCAAAGTAGCTGAAATTGGATTTAAGGATTTCAGTGGGTTTGCCCAGACTCAACATTTAATGGTGTCTTATATTTCTTTGACATAAAAGCCATTAAAATTCATGTTGTGCAGATGACACCAACAAATGCATCAACCCTTTAAACATGTTCAAATAATTCTATTCGCTCAGTACATGCATATCTGCTGGCCCTTTAAATACATTCACACTCACACTTGATTTCCTCATGTGTGTGGAATATTTATCAGATTGTGAATAGCAGACTGTGGTCACCAGGGTAGGGAATCCATTTTATACTGCCACACCATAGTTAAAAAATATCAAAGAAACTAAAGATGGACAATCCGTGAGGTTATCATTACTTTTGCACAATATCAAGGTTCACTGAGCAAACGTTCACTGTGGACTTTGATAGACACACTGTCTGGCTATTGGTCCATACTTTAGCATTTCAGAACAACAAGTTTGCACAGAACAGTATTCCTTATTATATATGTAAAGACATGCATGATTCTCCATGTCAGATGATAGTGTGTTTGATTCAGTTACTTTCCATTGACATTCCACTGATGAGTTGTACCATCCGGGGTTACCTCCTTTTACACCCCATAATCGTCTGGAATGGTACCGTTACGATCATACTGCTACAGTTGATGCATTGCAACCTAATACAATCATTTTGGGGAACGAGACTGGCACTTATGCAACAGACTGCCCTGCCCACAGCTCTGTGAAATACGCTTCACGACATGTACATACGGATCTCGAAAAATAAACTTTATCTGTATAGAACACTTTTCTAGATTGTCCAGTTCAAAGAAACTGGCGAATATCGAAAGCAGACAATGCAAGCATGAGCATCACTAGATCATGTCATTACATTGGTCGGTCGTGTCTTTGCGGAGCATGTTGATATCATATCGCTCGCTTTACACTGTCATTGTTTAACTTCACTTTTGTCTGTCGATGCTTCACTGTGGCTCTTAAGCGGTTGGTGGACACACGTTTCTCCTCCCAGCGCATCTGTGCTGCCATTAATGTGCTATAGTCCATGCTGATGTTCTCCTCCTGATACTCTGCCCTGTTTATGGCATGGAGCCTGGAGGTGGAGCAGTGTTGCACTGCCAATCTGACTAGTTGTTAAATGCCAACAGACACGTTGCTTAAAATGGGTTGACTCGTTCTACGACTAGCAGAACATTTTGTCGTTGGATCTTTAAATGGAAACCCTTTTTTTTTTTAGGAATATTCTGGGTTCAGACCCTGCTTTTCTTTATAAAAATAAAGCAAAAACCTGGGGCTTACAATGGAAGTGAATGGGGCCTATCCATAAACATTTAAATACTCATTGTTCTAATAGTGTAGCCACAAGATGTAAACAGTATGAATGTCAACATGAATTTAGTGTGGGAAAAATCACTTACTAATGTTTTTTGTGTAAAATTAAATCCAAATTGACAACTTTTGCCATGATGATGCAACAGCATAGACCATAAAACCATAAAATTATTGTAAAAATGATTGTTAAAACAGCTTTACAGCTCAAATAATACAGAAGAATTTATGTACGTGCGATTTGTATGATTACAAGTGTCATTTCTTCTTTTAAATCTTTCAAAAAACATTAAATTTTATTGTAAGGGCCTCATCGCAACCTCAATTTTTGCTTCTTATGTAGTTTATCAATAATATTATTGATAATTGTCTCTCATTTTCTTTGAAAAAATACTTAAAAGTAATTTTTGTGGTCTTGTATTGAACCCGGAATATTCCTTCAAGCAAAACTGTGTTATATCTGCATGAGTGTGTCCAACTTTTGGCTGGGTTCGATCAAGCTCAGACAGTTCCAGTGGAGTCTCTAGTGTTTCGAGAGCGCTGGCAGGTCTCACAGACTGAACCCATTTAAAGGTCCAGACACAATCAGCAGGCCAAAGTGGTGGTCAGGGAGGATCGGTCAGTGAACCTGCTATACCATAATAAAGAAACATTTCCTAACCTTATCTTATCCTCAGCAAAGCTTAACTACCAAAATAGGCCTCAAGCTATGCTCGTCTCTGAATAATTTTTAAATCGAACTATATCTAAGACGTATACCCCAATCATTGAACTCTCCGGACAGTGATGATATATATAACAGTGGTATATGTATGGTATCCCTCCTCTCCACCACAACAGACATCCACTTTATCGAGACCTGATAGAGTGACAAATATATATATACGCATATATATATATATATATATATATATATTAAAAAAAAAACAGATAATCCAAAACTCCATCGACTGCCTTCATTAATTGTTTTCTGTATTATGCTTATGGGTTTGTTATTCGGATATGGCTTTATGGGAGATGCATGTAAAAATATCTAGATGTAATTGTATGACAAAATACATGAGGCAAGTAATCACTGAGTAAACAAGACTTGGGCTTTAACAACACTGAATTAAAACATGTAATTATATGAGGAATGTGACTTGTCGACATCTAATGACGTAACTGAGTCCTTGAACAAATCATAGCGACAGCTGCTCAGTTTCTCCATGTTGATAAGAACACTCAAGAATACTGACAAAATGTTATTTAATTTCATATGGAAAAATGGCATACATTATATATAAAAATATGTGGTTTTAAATACCTATGAAAATGGGTTTTGTGCATTCTATAATACTCTTAAAATCAACTGGGCCAAACACTTTCTCAAAAATCCAACCTCTGTCTGGAACTTTACATTTTCCACATTACATTTTCTCCAATTTTTTTCCTTCCAGGTCCTTCTCGCCTGGGCTCTGTTATACAAGCACAACGTTTCTCCTCATAAATATTTTATCTGGAATAACCAAGATATTCTGTATAAAATCAAATCTCTTTTCTTTAAGTGCTGGTTTGAGCAAATATTTTACTCGTAAATCAATTGTTTAATGACAATGGCCACTAAACTATGAAGAATTTCTTTGTCATTTTAATATTCCCATTATCCCTAAAGAATTTGCTATTGTTTTTGATGCCATACCATCTGGAGTTAGACTGTTTCAAAAGATCCCCTATCCGTCTGTCTTACCTTTTTTAGATCCTATACTGTTTCAGGGGAAACATTGCTTTTCAGCCACTTCTTCTAATAAATCAATACGTTTGTTATTTCTTAATGAATTTGTGTCGGTTCCAAATGTTACAGTTTTATTGGAATGCTTTTGTTTCTGATATTGCCTGGAGGAAAGTTTGGCTGATGCCGAATAGATACTTAATTACTAATAAGATAAAATACATTTCCTTTCGAATTAGCCATCGTATATATCCTGTTAATGCTTTCTTAAAGAAATACAAAAAAAGATATTGATACAAACTGTTCTTTTTGTAAACAGCACCCAGAGACTATAGTGCATTTATTTTGCCACTGCCATTACTCTAAATTGTTGTGAAGACTTTTCCTAATTTTTTAATGATAATATTGATGAAGAATTTTCTTTACTTTGGGAGAATGTTTTGTTTGGATTTGTTAATATGAAAAAAGTGCATTTACAGAAAAAAACAAAATGTAGGCTACTTAATCTTCTTATCTTGTTAACAAAATTTTATGTACATAAATATAAATTCTCAAGTCAGAAGCCACTTCTTTTTTTTTTTTTTTTTTTCAATGGCCACTAAACTATGAAGAATTTCTTTGTCATTTTAATATTCCCATTACCCCTAAAGAATTTGCTATTGTTTTTGATGCCATACCATCTGGAGTTAGACTGTTTCAAAAGATCCCCTATCCGTCTGTCTTACCTTTTTTAGATCCTATACTGTTTCAGGGGAAACATTGCTTTTCAGCCACTTCTTCTAATAAATCAATACGTTTGTTATTTCTTAATGAATTTGTGTCAGTTCCAAATGTTACAGTTTATTGGAATGCTTTTGTTTCTGATATTGCCTGGAGGAAAGTTTGGCTGATGCCGAATAGATACTTAATTACTAATAAGATAAAATACATTTCCTTTCGAATTAGCCATCGTATATATCCTGTTAATGCTTTCTTAAAGAAATACAAAAAAAGATATTGATACAAACTGTTCTTTTTGTAAACAGCACCCAGAGACTATAGTGCATTTATTTTGCCACTGCCATTACTCTAAATTGTTGTGAAGACTTTTCGTCATTTTTTAATGATAATATTGATGAAGAATTTTCTTTACTTTGGGAGAATGTTTTGTTTGGATTTGTTAATAGGAAAAAAGTGTATTTACAGAAAAAAACAAAATGTAGGCTACCTAATCTTCTTATCTTGTTAACAACATTTTATATACATAAATATAAATTCTCAAGTCAGAAGCCACTTCTTCTTTTTTTGCTTGCTGAAATACAGCATTACTTTGGGACAATTTCTTACTCATGAAATAAGAAGGCTTTGAAAACAATTGAAATCCGTAAGTTGTTCAATCTTTTCCTTTGAATGTGATGTGTTTTGTTTAATTATATACTCCTGTCTTGTATTATAATTTTTTCATTATTATTATTTTAATATTTTTGTATTGTAACTGCTTCCTTATAGGTTGACATAATGTTCTCATTAAAAAAAAAAACCGAATCATAGCGAGTCTTTTCAATGAAAGGAATCAAAAGATTCGAGTCACTAGGATGTCAGTCCACACACTACTCCCAATCAGAACACAGCAGCAGAGCTGAAGGAGCAATCCGTTGTTTATGTTTCAGTGTAGCAGCACCGCTTCTATGCTCCTCTTATCGCTCTGATCTCACTGTCCATCTCACTGCAGGTCGCTGTTGGCCTCCTACTCATCTTCATTGGTTAGTTTACACTTATGTCTGTTATTAAGTTTCTTTGAACGTATTCTGCTGTAATTTCATTGACGTAACACAGATGTGTTTTCTGTTGTTCCCTTCAGTGAAGTATGACCTGAATGATGTTAAGATACAGCCGAGGCTAAACACAATGAATGACGCGGCAACTGTATTTGTGTTCTTTACTGTTCTTATCAACATCTTCATCACAGCATTGGGATTTGAGTCTGGAGGGTGAGCAGAGTAACAACAAAGTCTCATTATTAGAAAATAGATTTATTCTCATTATTTACATAATTTTTATAGTTAATTGAGGAAGTGTCACTATAAGAAATCTGTACATCTATAAACATCTATCCCTTCTTTATTCTCACATCGGAATAATTAATAATTCTCAGACTGTATTAACTTTACATCTCATCCCTTTTTTCAGGGGCAGTGTAATATTTGAAACTGCACTCGCTCAGACCAGATCTTTAAACTTCACTGAAGATGTATAAGCACATAAGAATTGGCACTCAACTTGCCTTTTGTGTCATCAAAATGTATTTCCCGAACAAATTACTGGACATTGTCCTCCATATCATATCTAAGCAAAAAATCTCATGTGATATTTTGTAATGTTTAGACAGCACATTTTAACAAACTATGAATTTGTAATTTTCTCAGTTTATGTGAAGACGGCAGGCATTAAGGACACCTTTTTATTTAAGGAACACAATAGAGGTTATAGTGAAATGTTTGTGAATTTGTTTTGGTTATTGCATCTTTAAAGCAACACTACTGAAAACCTCATTGAGATAAAGCATATTTTTGTCCAGAAATATTTTGAATAATTTAATCAAGCTGTTTCATACAGTACATTTGACATTTGATTTGTTCCAGCAAAATATTTGGGATGTATTGATAAACCAGTTTGCATATTGTCTAAGATGAAGAAGTAAAAACAGTACATATACCTGAAATATCCTCCTGTACTGACCACCAGGAAAAAAAAGCCATGACATTGTCATTTCATGTCATTTATTGTTTAGAACATAAGAAAAAAAGGAAAAATAAAATGTTTGAAAAATTATATTTTATTCATATGTTATGCTATGTCCTCTATAGTAGGGGCCAGTTGCATAAACATAGTCACCACGTTAAGACTGTGTCATAAGAACTAGTTTGAGTAACTAGCAGTTAACCAAGTGGTTATCAGTCTTACTTTTCAGATTCAAATTAGTTTTTACGTAACTGACTTAAAAAAAATTATGACCAGTCTTGCAGAAAATAATTAGCCACAGGAAAAATAAAAAGACATGAATAGACATGTAAAGGCAGAAACAGTGGGATTCTTTTTTTCACCCGTTTTTTAAAAATCAGTTTTTATTACACAAGTTTTTATACAAAATTTTATAAAAGGATGATTCTCAACTATGTTATGAAAGATATAACGGAGTAATTTGATATACCATTTTGCTTTATGCTAGTTGTGTGTAAAATGAACAGGTTTTCCCATTATATACAATGTATCTATGCACTGTATCTAATTTGCATATTAATGTTTTCTTGGGGCAACATGTAATGAAAAAATTAGTGTAATAAGGGGAGTAATAATTGGCAAAATTTTCATAATAATATCTAATATTTCATAGGAATATTGATGTATAATTTCTTTCCCTATTCACTTGTGTCTCCCAAAAAGCGTAATAAACATGCTTTAACTCCTGGTGTCCTGACATGTATGGAATCCATGTCCTGTTTCGTAACAGAAGTCATATTTTGACATATTTGAAGCCCATAACATTTTCCTGAGATGTTGATTTATGAAAAACAATTATTAGTCAAAACAAAACAAAAATTTGTCAGATTTAAATGATCATTACAAAATATTATCATATTTCCATAAGGGTGTTAAATTGAATCACTACATTAATGTCAGCCATTTTAAAGACCAAGGAGAGGAAGTGGTCATGGTAAAACTGCCAAACATTTGGTAATGTGCTCTTTACAGGACATCCAGACTTAAATCAGTGACATTTAAGGTTTAAGGAAATTCACTAAAATGTGTCTGCAACAGAGGACAAAACCCCATAGCTGGGTGTCAGAAGGATATAAGAAATAAAAGACTCACAATTTTTGTCTTACTGAATCATCAAAAAATGCTCAAATCTTCAATTATTATAATTATTTATAATGCACAAGGTAGATATGATAATCATCATTAGGCCTTCCCAGCGTAATCATAGTTCATAATCATAGCATAATAGTGTAATCATAGTTGTAATGTCCGCGTGGCCGCTGGGGGTCGCTGTAACCGCAGGCGCTGAACGCCACTGACGCACAGACTCACTGCAGGAATAACAACATGGCGGACAATTCAAAAGAGCAGCTGCTGTCTATGCGAGTTTACAATAGCCTTCAGGTAGTTTACACATCTTTACAGACACACCACACACAGAAAATGACACATTCAATCATTTTCTGATGTTTTGCGAACTTTTTTGACCGGCTGTTTTGAGTCTGTAGTAGTGTTTTGTGTCTAATGAGCCACTAAGCTGCTAGTTTTGGAGCTAACAGATGTGTGTGCAATTAAAATAACAGATATTTTAAGATATTATCTGTTGTTCACATTTTAGGACACCACTTGTGTAATAGAAAAATACAGTAATTGATATAATGGCTGGTTTAGTTACCGTTTCTGTTATCAGGCTCAGTGTATGCTGTATATGAACACTGTCTGTTTAGCGAGTCTAAATATTGTCAGTAACACAGTAACTAGATGGGCTGTTTGAACTGTTGTATGGTCTGCTCAGAGTCTGGGCTGTCCTCTGGTGGATGGGCTGTACCTGCGGGAGCCGGACAGTGTGCAGGAGCTCCTCTGCTCTCCTTCATTACACAGGACAGATATACTCAAATGGATTTGCGCCAGGTCTGATGCATGATAGACTTCTAAACATGATTAGAATGATGCCAAATGTGTAGTTTGCAAATCTGTATACTAAAATGCCTTGCTCTGTTTGTGTTTACAAAGCATTTGTCCATCCCTAAAGGAGAAGTTTTCCACAATGAAATCAACTCAGAATGAGGATTTAGTTCAAGGTAATCCTTTGTATGAGTCAAAGACAATAAAAAGTTTATTACAGCTTTAATTTTAGTTTTCCCCCAAACATTAGAATGTCTGTTTGAATTTTATATATATATATATATATATATATATATTTATTTGTTTATTTGTTTTTCTGATCAAAAAACAATGACTATCGTACATTTTTACCATGATTTACAGAAGACACCCTCGAAAATGTCATTCAGCGTAACAATAGTTCATACCTGTATACCAAAAAAATCTTGTCAGGCAAGAATCATTAGATGACATTAAAAGACTCTATATAAGGATCACAAAGCAGCCCCCCAAATTAATTGTAATTGAATGAAAGTAAAATTTAGTATGATCTTATTTTTTTTATATATATTTTAATATATTGGTCAGAATAAGTATGTGGTTTCATTTTTTTCATAAATATAGCTGTTACTCTGATTATTTATTTATTTATTTGCAAAGAAAAGGCCCAACAAAGCTTGGTCTGCTCTTGTTTTTTTATTTATTTATTTTTTTTGTTTTGTTTTCTTGTGTTTATTGTTTTGTTGTGCTTTCTCTCTCGCACACAGAACTCACACGGTTTGGTTATGAAATGATGTTATGTAAAGCTAATGACCAGGATTTGATTAAGGTATGAAGTTCTACAATGTTGTTCTTTATACTGTCTAGTGCATTTTATGTAAGGAACAGAGTAGAGATTACTGTGAAATGTTTTTGAAAGTTTGATCTTTTTAGTTTCACTTGCACCTTTAGCAACACTGCTGACAACTTCATTGAAATAAAACATTTTATACAGAACATGTTTGAACAAGCAAAAAATGTTTGGGGATGGATTGATACTTGGTTAAGAATCGTATCTAATCATTTTAAATGCAGAAGGACTAAAACAGAAGGAATTCATCTGTCCTGTTGCGTCTGTTATATTTTCAGGGCCGTGCACCACCATTGCGGCAACTAAGGTTTCTGGAGCAGATTCTAATGGTGATTCAAGCAGACTCCTCCATAAACTCTAGGTATCTGACTTGTGCAGTTTTTTGTAACACTGATTTAACAACAACCTTGAGTCAGGCCCTCCTCAGGCCTACAATCATTTAAAGTGGTCTTGTTTCTCTGTTGTTTGTTTTGATGGATGTAGGCAGAACTCATGCTCTGGTGATGACAGTGTAAAGAACGATGATCTTCTTGGGGAGCTGATGTTTCAGGACCACTTATCTGACCTGGATATGCTCCTGAATCCAGTCTGCAACCCGTGGCCTGCGCATATCCGTGAACATATAATACGCACACAGTCAACTCGCAACAAAACAAACGGAAACCACAGTAAACCCAGCGATTTCATAAACAGGTCTGTGTGATTGTTATGCACCCATGTACAAGTTTTTTTTTTTTTCAAACTGTTGTCTTTAACACGGTTGTTATTTACTGGCATTGAAGGAGTGATCAACATTCCCGACTAGGAAGTCATGGAGAAGAAAGCCTGACAGAGGCCATGGCGCTGCTGCAGTCTACCCAGAGCACATTAGACGAGCTCCACAAAGAGGTGGGACCATCATGTGCCATTTTTCACATCTGATTTGATGTGTTTGGTTTCCATAATAGCGTGATCCTCTCTGCTCCTCAGTGTGAGTTCCTGCAGTCACATTCGTCAGGCTCTGCAGCTGTGCTGTCCCCCTGTGCGCTGAAAGTGGCCATCTCAGACATGTCTCTGCTCATGACTTCTTTCGGACACATCTACAACACAGACTTTAAGGCGTACTGCCAGAGAGCCCCTCCGGCCCTCAGTTCTGGTGCAAGTGTGTTTCAGTCTGTACATCAGCTCCTGCACACCTGTAATACGGTAAAGCATCCTACATCATTTATCTGGAGTCATTTAAAGGGATAGTTCACCCAAAAATGAAAATTTGCTGTGAATTTACTCACCCTCAGGCCATCCATGGTGTAGGTGACTTTTTTTATTCAGTAAAACCGTAAAGAAGATTTATTTTTAGCTGAAACCATGGTCCTTGGAAATGCATAAAATGCAAGTCAGTGGTTTTCGTCACTTTAAGAGTCAAAAAAATATCAGGGAACACAAAATTAATACCCGTGGCTCCTGACAATATACTGAGGGCTTATGAAGCAAACCCATCAGTCTGTGCAAGAAACTGAACTGAACAATAGTTTTGCAAAAGAACGCAAAGGATTCTTGGGGGAGTGCAGTACTTTTATGAAAGCATGCAAAAGTTTTGCGAATGAGTGATTAGTTTCTCTGGGGAGCGAAATACTTTTGCGAGAGAAGCAAATGTTTTGTGAGCCAACGCCAAGTTGTTCTGGGGAATGCAATACTTTTGTGAGAAAATGCAAATGTTTTGTTAGCAAACACAAAACATTTGCATTTTCTCAGTTAGCAAACTCGAAACAAAAGTTTTCTCGGAAGACCGCAGAAGCATTGAAATAGATTTTCTCACTTCATCTCATATTGTATCACCATGTCCACTTAGAGCCTCCGTAAATGTCCAAGGGCTGTCTGGAAAGTATCCAGCCATGTAATATGAAAAATATGAGATGCAATATGATGAAAACGGTCGCAGCTATGGGCAACTGGTGACTGGCAGCTTCATCACGACAATTCACCTGCCCATGCATCACGTCTCATGCAGAGGTTTTTGGCGAAACATCAAATCACCCAGGTGACTCGGCCCCCCCTACAGCCAAGATTTGGTGCCCTGCGACTTCTGGCTTTTCCCAAAACTAAAATCATTTCAGATTTCAGACCATCGATGAGATTCAAGAGAATACAACAAGGCAGCTGAAGGCGATTCCAACAAAGGATTTTGCAGAATGTTTTGATATTACATGGCTGGATACTCTCCGGACAGACCTCGTATATATTTTGCATGTTCAAATACAAATGTTTAGCATATTCTTCATTTACGTTTCAGGAGCTGGAGGCTCTTAAGCAGCTGTCTGAAACCTCATTGTCTCTCACACAAACAGTGCAACAGCTGCAGACAGACAAGCGGTACTGGTCTAAAGGAGAGAAGCACACGCTGCGTGAGTGTTTTCTTGGATGTCTTGGTTTTGAGCAAAATTTCTTAAACTTCAAAATAACATGTTTTTTTTTTTTTTTTTAGCCGAACGATTAGAGGAGCTAAAGAACAGATATGTGACTTTTCTCTCCCTTCACCAATCATAACCTCAAGGACTAAGCAGAAATCTACAACCTAGTTTGAATTTTAATTGGTAAAGGCATGAGGTGTAAAATGTAATAACACCACTATGCTGTGCACTGTTATGCAGATTTATACTAGGAATAAATAACAAATTGCTGTTTGTGAACTCCAAGACATTGATCAATAGGCATTCCACTTATAAAATTGCCTTCAAATAGTATACACTTAATAGTTATAAACTATAATCCTCTTTCTTTACAAAAGTCTGTTATTAGTATGTGTAGTAGCAAACACAAGCGTATCTTTCACTGTCAGTGTTTGATTTGCAATCATGTTATGACATGTTTTTTTTGTTTTTTTTAAATAAAAACTCACCTTATAGAAACGCGGGGTGTTTCTTAATTTATAGATAATTTACATTTGTGTAAACTTTAGAAGTTATTGTCTGTTAACACATTGGTGACACTAATGGGAGGGTCTTTCGATGTTTAAAAGCACATATTTTGGAGAAAGCCAGGAATTTTAGTGTAAAACATTTCTCAGGCTGAGCTGTTATGTTTGTGAGCTTCCTGTAACCATTTCTGTTGCTAAACAAAACCTGAAGCCAATGGAGAATCAAGCCCTCAATCAACAAGGAGAGGTGAGTAATAGATGTGTGCTTCCTAATCTTTTTCGTTTGTTTGTTTGTTAAATATGCTAGTTTCCCAAAAGCATTTTACAACACAGATAACATCTTGTAACTCTAGAGGCAATAATATACGTTTAAAATGAAGTAATTTGTTAAATATCTGGCTGTTACATGCAAGCACACTATCCACAAGACAGCATCCCCTCAGTAGCACCTAAGTGATGCTCATACTTCTGTTGAAAAGGTCCTTTAAGTGATGCTCATACTTCTGTTGAAAAGGTCCTTCAATTGTGTACAAGCAGTGCTCCGTGAAGTTTCATATTTGCTTAAGCTTTCAGTGATTCTGTCCTGTGGAAAGAACTTGACTTACTTGAGGAATAGAGATCTTTTGCTCCTCTTATCGCTATGATCTCACTGTCCATCTCACTGCAGGTCACTGTTGGCCTCCTACTCATCTTCATTGGTTAGTTATTATTTCTGGAAGGATTTTTTTCTCTGCTGTAATTTCATTTATGTAAGTAACTGTGTTTTCTGTTGTTCCTTTCAGTGAAGTATGACCTGAATGATGTTAAGAAACAGCCGAGGCTAAACACAATGAATGATATGGCCACTGTTTTTGTGTTCTCTACGGTTCTTATCAACATCTTCATCACAGCATTGGGATTTGAGTCTGGAGGGTGAGCAGAGTAACAGCGATTTTTTTTTTGTGTCTTTTTTTTCAGACTTTATCATTTAAAATGAGTATTTATGTCTGGACATCTATACTTTAGTCTTTACAATACATTAATTCTAATACTGTACTTTACTGACTACATCTGTTCTGTTTCAGAAGCAGCATCAGGTACTGCAGTCCCTATGAATAATATATAAGGACTGTGTTCACGTATTTACACACAAGAAGTTTTATTCACTGTAATAGTCAAAAACTTTTTCTGCCATCCTTTTGAGCCATACAGATAATATCATGTATGTTTTTTTATGGATACGTTCACTTTAATAAAGCACTAATATCTGAGTAAATATGTAATTTGATGTTCTTCACAAGCTGAATTTCCTAAGTTGAATTTCTAATATGTTACTGTTTATTCACTCCCTTGACAGCAATCAAGAAATAAAAAGATGAACAGTTTGCAGTGTAATATTAACAGACATTTGCTGTCCCTCTCCTAGAGCCTCTAAACAGTACCAGAAGCCTTTACACGTGTGGAAACAGTTCTGCTGAAAACTTGGTCAAAGGATTTAAGTCGATAAATACAGGAAAAAATTCTTACACAAATGTCACTTTATTAGATACCATTTCAAACCAAGTGGCATTTTTTTTTAAAGACAGTAAATGTTTTTCAAGCAAACAAATTTGAAATTCAATAAGTGTTCAATTAATTTGCAAAATGAGCAAAGCTTTAGTATAAACATTTGTTTGCACTGAGTTGTCATTATCAAAGACTAATTCTAATAACAATGATATTCATACATTGTATGTGTGGCTTAGGTTGTCCAAAAACATTTTTTCAATACTATATATGTATAGTAAAAAAGGCATTTTGGTAGTGTTAACATGTCAGGGACAAGCAGCAGTAGGATAGTAATGAATGAATTAATCTGTTTAATAAAAAAATACAATTTATATCCTTAATAATTTTCCACAATAGTAATAAGGAACTGAAAGCTTGTTATATTGTGAATATAGTCTTGGCTGAAAGGGTTGTTGCATTGCGCCTAACAATGTCCTTTAGCTGTAACTAATATTCACAAACTAGCACAACCTTGTGTACTTCATTGCTCAAATCTCTTCAGTTTTCAATTCAGCACCTTAGAATTTATTAAAAGGGTTTAACACTGAAAACAGCGAATTGAAACGGTTTAGCAAACAGTGCTCTACAGAATGTCCCATGAACACAAGCCACAGCAAAAGGATTTCATATACAATTCATAAGAAAATAAGCTTTAAAGATTTAAATGCCCCAACTATCATAAAAATTCAGAATTTTCTTAATATGGATAGTCTTCCACATCTGTACCTGTTTGATAATAAAAATGCATAAAGTATTTGAATAAAACTTTACGCATTATGCACAAGTTCATGGTTGTACGACAACTGGTACTAAACTTCACTATCTGTACTCACACAGAATATTATTTTTTAAGCTCTTATTCCAGGCTATATTTATGGTTGTTCTTGTACAGAATCAGTTTAGGTTGGGGCTGCTGAACATATTTAAAACCTCACCATTCCTCTACTGAACGCTTTTAAAGGGGGTCTCCTCTGCAGGCTCCATACATGTGTACACATAATAAAGAAACACAGCAATGATAAGAAACGCCAAGATACGAAGCCAGCCCGGCACACCTCCAGATTTGCTGGTCTCTGGACTGGATGGACCACGCTGCATGGATGTGGAGACTGACGGGCCAAGCCGAGAAGAACTCTGATAGGACATACGAGTTGGGCTGATAACCGGCCTTCAACATAGACAGGAAGGACATTTCATTGATTTTTGAGTGTTGTTATTATACTACAGTATTACAGCCAAATTGTAGTAACATGTTGTAGGAGAAGCCGAAAATAAGACAATTGTTAAATAATATTATTAAAAGAAAAACTCACTCATTGGTATAGCCTATGTTGTCATCTCTGTAATCAGTCAGATTTGACCTCCGTATGCTGAGGAGAGAAAGCATATATCCAGTTACATTTATGTGGAAACCACTTTTACGCTAAAAAAATAGATGAAAAGGGAATGAATGAATGAATCTCACTTGTGGGCAAAATCTGCATCGGTGACCTTTGACCTCCTTGTGCTGGGGAGGGATCACACATATACAATTACTGTAAGCATATCAGAAGGATATTTGTGATCTCAGCAAGACATTTTAATAGACGTTATGATTGTGATTTCAGATTACTGCTTAGGTTTTCTGTGTATGTTCGGTGTCATTATGTTGTATAACTTCAAAGTTTGAAAATACAACTTCCAATCGATTCCTGTTCATTTTTAATTCATTCTACAAAAATAGAATATGGAAAAAGATTTCATACCCTTTTTGACACATACTGTATTTGTTCTTGTTTTAAGGATAAACTTTTGTGAAATTTCTCAAGACTTTGATGTATCCTGTTTTAAGAATGTTTCAGTTATTTGTATTGGAAAATAAAAATACTGAGAAAGGTATTTATTTTTAACAACGCATGCAAAATTTCATACCATGACTTTATGAATTTAAGACTTTCTGCTCTGATTCGAGACCTTTTTAAGACCTTAAATTGTGGAAGGGCACATTAAGACTTTTTAAGACCTGCAGAAACATACTCAGGAAAATAAAATATGCTACTTACACATCACCAAATCCATCGTGTCTGGTCAGCTGTGGCTGCTGAATATGAAAAATGTCTTATTAATAGACTACATATCTGATGATATAACCCTTCAAGTTCAGTTCAGTTTTTACTTACGGGCTGATGATAGGTAATATATTCAACTTCCTCCTCTATGAAAACAAAAGCAAATTTTACAATTGTAATGCTACACTCTAAATATGGGGAAAGTCAAAGACTGTCTTTTTTTTCTTAAAGGGGTCCTATTATGCTTTTTCACTTTTTGAATTTTAGTCAGTGTGTAGTGTGCGTGTTTGGGCATAAAAAAGATCTAGAAACTTACAAATCTCAAAGTCCACTCCAAAGGGAGATATTTCGTTTTTAAAAAATCCCTTTTCAAGAACTACAACGAACGGCTCGTTTGGACTACAGCGTTGTTTTCCGGGTTTTGTGATGTCACAAAGCGGCACCCGGAACTAATCGAGTCGTTTGTGCCAGGATGGGGAGAAAGGTATTGTAATAATGTAAATTATGTAAAAAAATAATGCGTTTTTTGAACCACCAAGCATGAGAGCATATTCTAGTACACCCCCAAAACAAATTCAAGACATTGTAAAAGAGCATAATAGGACACTTTTAAGAGAAGCCTTACTTTCTTCCCGGTAGTATGTCTTGTCAGGCGAGGAAGGCTTAGCTTTTTTGCCCATGGCTTCATTCAGTTTCTTTTCATAAAGCTTCCGTGTGGATTCTGTAAAAACAAAACCGCCACCAAATCACAGCACAACTTTCCCCAGAGTCACTGAAAAACAAACACGCTTTAACGTGCTTTCCTGAGTTAGTGCAAAAATTTAATGAATTAAAAAATGAAGAAATTAAATTAAAATTATTTAAAGAAAAATCGTTTTTTACATACTTTTTTAAAAATTAATATCGTTTTTTATGACTATAATGTTACAACTTATTCTAAAAGACTAAAGGCTTATGACATACCTACTATGGGTCCATGTTTAATGCCATATTCATCCAACAGCTGACTGATCTCCTTATCAGATTTTCCACTTAATGAGGACATATCTGCAACAACAGGTTTTATGTTAAGGTTTAAGATTACAAAAAAAATTTTTTTTTAAATGAGATGACTCATAACAATTGTTCGAGCATGTAGGTAACTCGCGTTAGTAGGCCTACTGGTTGACTGAGAAACGTAACGTAAAACCAAGCTTATTTTATCTCTATAAAGAGTCTGAAAGAACAAAACCAATCTCTCATTGAGAGATACAAAAACCAGCACTGCATAAGAATGAACAAAGTGCCAGACTGCTATAACATCTGGGGCTGAATGTCACACATGTGCAGCCTGCAACAGTTGGAAACTTCAAGAGGTAAGTTAACGTTAACATAACGTTACTCTGAACAAAAGACACGTCCTACGCAAAGATCAAACGAACATGGCATCTTCTGTCAGATTAAAGAAAAAGCATTTGGGAGAAAAGGAGCACAAAAGCGTTTTTCAGGTGTACAAAAGGTCAGAGAAACCGATTTCTTGGGATCGCGCTAGCACGCGAAACCACTGACTCAACTTCAACAACGCATTTAGCATGACTTAGGATAGAAGGGTGAGCAGTAGCAAGAGTTTCGTGTATGTTCTCGCCTATACATATACCTTTTAAATTAAAAAATTAAATTTAGTCATAATTGAATTACCTGAACCGATCCCAGGACGTTAAAAAGGCGCTTTCCTGAGCTGGGCGTGTCGCGCTGAAGGAGGAGACGCGCATCACTTCCTTACGCCTGCAGTGACTATAATATGAGGTTCCATTTGTGTCAAAAATGAGTCGACTGCTTTGTGCTTTGTACTATACATTTGTCTTTGTCTACAGTCATTGCCTACTTGTTCAGGTAAATCAGTATATGTAGGCATGTATGTTGTCTGTTGATGTCGTCTTAATCTGTCGTCCTGCCTGCTTTTTCTCTGTC